TGGGCCTCCCCACCCATACTCCACCAAGATTTTTTATACAAGGGCACCACCTGCCAGTTATCTTGTATAATAATGCTTCTAGCTTGCATGCTGAATGTCCTTTTTTAGAGGAGTCCCCGAGAGTATAGTTGACCTCTAGACAAACTACTGTATAGGCTATAACTTTCCAACAAGTAGTTCTGGTTTTTCTTTAGTGGAAAATTTTGGTCCAGATGATCATTGAGAAGAGTTTTTTTTATAATCGCATTAAATCATTTTTTATTTCAATATTTATTTTTAAAATCTATGAATAAACTTTATATTAAAAATAAAGCAGTTTTAAATAATTACAAGTTGTAAAGTTTTTTTAACAAAATATACTATATAAAACCTGTATATTTTTATTTTTTTTTATTTTTTCATTATTATTTTCTATTAAAAAAGAAGTATTTAAAGTTTTTCTATCACTTTTTTTAATTATAAAAGAAAAACATTATTAGATTAAGATAACATGTCAAATTTCCATTACCAAAATTGAGAATTCACAGGATTGCCTAATTTGTACTATCACTTTTTAGCCTTTATAAATACAGTAATGATTATTTTATAATCTTTATTTTAAATAATTAAAAACACCCCAGTGCCAAATAAAAGAATTACCCTTAATAGATATAAATTTTTATCAAATTAATTAGAAATCATTCATTGTTTTAAAATTTATAAAAATAGCTATAATAAAGCAATAGGTTTTACAACTATAAAACTAGTTAATTAATACTATAATAAATTAACAGATTGATTTGCTTATACTTACCTGGATACCAATGACTTCAAATTAGATTTTGATTTATTTAGTTTGATACAATTATACACAATTCAGTTTCAAACATTAATTTGTATTATACAATAAAACTAAAAAAATTGTTAAATTTTATTTTTTAAATTTTGTTTTATGAGCTTTATTTTATCTTACACAAATAAAACAATTTAAGTATTCATTAATTTGTAAAGATGTTATTGTAATTTAAAAATTCTTATACAACTTTATTAACTTTGTTTTGTACTAATTGAAATAGATAGGGTATTTAATATTAAGATATAGTAGAAATAATGCATTTTTAAAATTATTTTTTTTATAATTTTTCTTGTATTCAGGTATAAAAAATAAGTATTAACGATAGTACTACCCAAGACCAATAATAGCACTACCCCAAGACCAATGATAGCACCACCTCCAAAACTAATGATAGCACTACTGCCAAGACCAACAAGACTAATGCCCAAACTTTATCTAAACCCAAATTCAAATTTCAAAACAAGCTGAGAAAAAACATACCTTGTAAATAAACTCTGCAATATATAATTATTTACTACAGTGAAGCAGGAGTAAGTTTTTTATTTTATAAATTAAATAATACCCCCAGAAACCTTTGAATAAAGTAGAAGATGATTACTATTTTGATAAAAAAGAAGATAGATATAAAGATTCTATTATCTCTCTTTTTAATAATGATATGCACTTTGGATTTGGTAATGCTACTAAAATTGATTTTCAAAAAAGACCTATTTCGTCTTCAATAGAGCAAATTAAAATTTGTTATAAGAAAGAGCAAATAAAATTTATATATTTATACTCCTTATAATTTTGTCTATTCAAAAAAAGTATTAAAAAATTTCGTCTTTTAAATAAAATACAATTTTGTCTTCAAATTTTAATTTCGGGTTTTTGAACCCGAAATAATTTTGTTAACATGTATAATTTGGCCCTTAATTGCAAAATTTTGGCCTCTATATGTAATTATTTTCACTTTTGGATAGGAAAAGTGGCACAGATGTTACAGGTATGCCAAATACTCAAACAGTTAATAAGGCATGCTATTTATATGTTACTTTGAAATATTCTAAGAATACATAGGTTATGAGAAAGGTTGAAATCAAAATTCTGAAATATTCCGAATATTTTGAAAGATTTTGATGATAACTGATCAATCTAAATTAAGTATACCTATTATATAACATAATAGCATGCCTTTTAGCAATAGCATGCCCATTTGGCATGCCTAATTTTTTTTGGTTTGCTATTTTTTCTACTTTTGGGCTATATATATAAATTCACCAAAAATATACTACTATCCACCTGTAATTTAATAAAATATTGTTTGGTAATATGCATAACATATTCTATCAAATGTAATATCAGTCAATCGATCTTTAGAAGCAAGACAATTTCGATATTTATAGATAGCAACTTGTTTTTTAACATTATATAAACCATTTTCCTGAGGTAAATCAGCAGTTATTAGTCCAATCGAAGCAATAATCTACACTGGTTTATTGTTTATTTTCATTGTGACACCTTTTTCTAATTGATAAAGTTCTTGGAGCAAAGGGCATATAAATTTATCAAAATAATCCCAAATAGTATAAATCCTATAACAAAGTGATTTTTTAATTGTTTTTTTAAATTGAAAGGCATATTGCCTATTTAAATATAAACACCTTCTAATGAGTGATACATGTTGTAAAAAGTGCCAAAATTATCATTGTAAATGCTACCGTATAGTTCTGAAAATAAGCTACCTCTAAAAATAAGCTACCCCCTCTCTCAAAGAAAATTTTAAAAATGTCTTTCCCCAAAAAATAAGCTACTCCTGCGATTTTTCTATTTTCTTAAATAGTTGCTATATATAAAAGTCAAAATTATACTAAGTAAATCTACAAATGTCACTTAATAGAGATTGTTCAGAAGATAAAATACACATATTCTGAAAGTTGCAGACAAATTGGAGAACTTTTTACTAAGGTATTTTTGCATTATATGTTAAAATCTTTAAATGCAAAAACATCTTAGTAAAAAGTTTTCCAATTTGTATAAAACTTTCAGGATATGTGTATTTTTACCTCCTGAACAATCCCTATTAAGTAACTTTGTAGATTTACTTAGTAGAATTCTGACTTTTATATATAGTAACTACTTGTACTTAATAAGCTACCCTCATGATTTTTGTGTAACTTTTTGGCCAAAAAAGAGTAGCTTATTTTCGAAAACCTACAGTAATCATGAACTTAAATATTTTCATATTGTGCAAGAGCATGCTTGGTACAGTAATATGCTCAAATTTAGTGACTATATCATGGTACAGAATTTTGGATACAGGTTGAGGTAAATTTTCAATTTAAATTGAAACATGTCTTATAACATTATTAGAAAAAACAATTTGAAAATCTTCTTTGATCATTCAGAGTTCATTGAGTCCTCTGTGACTTCTATCATGACAATGATAAACTTTCAACTCATTATGCTTTAAAAGTCTTGACATTTTTAAAGCATCTTGTATTTGGGTATCTAAATGATTAGATTCAGATTGTGGCATGACTGAAACAATGGCTTCTATTTTTTCAAATTGCTTTTCACTTTGACTATTGTTATTAGTATAATTAAACTCCACAAATTGTTTAATAGCATATTTAGTATTATTTATAATTATAGTAGTATTACCAAATAAAGGAGACCACTACCAGATATCACCATACTATAATTTTGATTTCCCTTGACTTTCAATACTGCAACCAAAATACATCTTTGTCATTAAATGTGGATTATTTAAACCCGATTAAGGTGCTCTTTTATTGAAATAGTATAAACAAGTTTGGTTGACTTTGATATAGAAGGCATCTTCCAATCATCAATAGAAATTATATAACTTTTTATATTCAACAAGAGCATTTTAGTTTGTTGAAACCTAAGGTGTCTTATATTCTTTGGTACATGGTGAAGTTAAAATTGTGGATACTTAATTATTACTATCAAGTCTTTATATGCTTTTGTGGATAATAACTTATAAGAAAAACATTTTTTCAGTAAAATTAGTAAAGTATGGACTATATTTACTGTTATATAGTTTGAAAAATGCAGGCCTATCTGCTATCTTTTGTGTAAATGAATCATCATTATCAATTAAAATGCTATTAATATTATTTTTAAAGTTATCATTATTGTCTTCAAAGTTATCATCACTGCTTTCAAAGTTGTCACTATTGATTAAAATATCTTCAAAATCATTGTTACTATCTTCAAAGTCGTTAATTGATATATCTTCAAGCTCATCATATTTGTCATTATTATCTTCAAATTTGCTATCATTAATCGACATGTTATTGTCTTTATTACTGTATTCAAGATTGTTATTGTTTTTATTACTGTATTCAAGATTATTATCACTTTTATTACTATTTTCAAATTCATTGTTGTTGGTTAAAATGTCTTTAAAATCACTATAATTATTAAGTATATTATTAATTAAAGCATTTTGAGAATTATTTACTACAAGCCTGGCTTATTTGTGCAATAGCAAGCAAGATCGTCTTACTCTCCCAGATGAATAGTAAATTTTTGCTTTAAAGTACATGTGTAAGTCATCACCAATTATTATTTTCATTACTAGTTTATAAGACCCGGGCATTGTCTTGGGTTCAAGTTTCTAATTTTTTGCTAATTCTTAGGCCTCAATGTTATTAGTTCGTAGGACCCGGTTATTGCCCGGGTTCAAGTTTCTAATTTTTTGCTAATTTTAGCCTTCTATTATAGAACTTGGGCATTGCCCTGGGTTCAAGGTTTTAAATTTTTTTAATTTTTAGATTTTAAATGATACTCTAAATATTAAAACCCAAATTAGGTTCTAAGAACCCAAATTGGGTTAAAAAAGCCAAATTGGGTTCAAAGAACCCAAATTGGGTTTAAAGAACCCGAATTGGGTTCTAACAAACCCAAATTGAGTTCTAACGAACCCAAATTGGGTTCTAATGAACTTGAATTGGGTTTCAATGAACCCGAATTGGGTTTAAAAGAACTCGAATTGGGTTTAAAAGAACCCAAATTGGGTTTAAAAGAACCCGAATTGGGTTTCAACGAACCCGGATTGGGTTTAAATAAACCTAAATTGGGTTTTAACAAACCCAAATTGGGTTTTAACAAACCCAAATTGGGTTTAATGAACCTGAATTCATTTTAAAATTATTATTATTTATATGGACATCTATGTTCACAAAGTTATAAAAGGGTGAATTTATTTATATTGTAGTTTTTTTACTTTTTTTTTTAAATTTTAATTTTTTAATTTAGCAATTTTTAATATTTTTTTAATTTAACTAATCTAATGATTTTTTTTCTTTTATTTAATGGTTTTTCTTTAATTTAATAAGTTTTTTTTTCTTTAATTTAAGAGTTTTTTTTTATGGGTTTTTCTAAATATCTCTGGCCAGAGATATATAACTTATATATTTCTGGCCTATTGACCAATCAAAACTATAGAAAATCATGTGATCAAATCATGTGACAACACGGCACTATATGCAATAT